TATTTTGAAAAATAAAAAGTATAAATATGCCTTATATAGGTATGGTCCTACACTATATTATTCAAATATAGCATGATAGGTCCACTTTAAAGTATTATAACACTACAGTTTACAGAGAACATATCATCTGATCCTTTCACAACAAACACTATATGCTATTTTTAGATTTTTAGTAACATTATAATCCCCATTTTGATCTGGTTACGTCCGTCTTTATGCAACTGTAAGGGACTATATTTCCCTTCTTTTGTATCCTGATTACGTAATCCTGTTACATGTAATCTGTAACTCCTCAAGCCTGATCATCAAAATATGCGACTCTGTGTACTGTGTCGCTTTTGTGACTGCTGTTTCATTTGCTCGAGATGTGAGAGCGATGTGAAAAAAAAAATTGAAGACGACACACTGGCAGAGATCAGGAGCTTTTTGATTTTTGACAAACAATCCCTAACTGACAGCTGGAATCCTGCACTCACACACTGTTGTGAACAAGAAAAGATCCAGCTCCACTGGTGAACTACACACAGAGAGAACTGCTATTTGTGTTTGATGTCTATCTTTCCCTCTCCCTTCTCATCTGTGCCTCTATCATCTGCATCATCCACTTCTCTTACCTCCCACTTGGGCTTTCAAACATCAATAAAGAGAAATGAATAAAAAGGCAATCAGATTGATTTGATTGGAGATATAGAGATGTATCTGTGTGTTTGTCTGTTCTCCACTTTGCTGCTAACAATCACACAGTGCAGGATAAGAGCTCCCACTAACCAGCCACAATAACAGCACTCAGACGCAGAAAACAATTTCACATTGCATGTATTTATACTGCGGGACTATTTTTTTTTTATATCTTCAATGGATCCGGCTGCACTCTTCTTTATCATGATAACAGCGCAGGGTAAACATCCACAGAAGCTTCTTCAAGAGGAACTCGACTCAAGGGAGAACTACTCTGACAAAAGCACTTCCTGCAATGACAGGTGTTTTTTTATTTTGTTAAATGTCTTCTGAGGCTTTGAAAAGTCTGAGAAAAATAAAAGTGATGATGACACATTGGAAGACTTTAAATTAAGCAGCCCAGTCTCCCGTGGGACCGGTTTGAAGGCCATTTTTACTTTGTCCCCAATATCAAAACACAGGTTCAAAAAAATGTGAGAGCAGATTTAAATGAAATTTGGCAAATGTTCGATAGATAAGGTACAATTTGACTATCGACGATTCACAGTTTTACATCAATCAAGTGATAGTTTCACCCACAAAGGACCACATTGAAATGAGTTTAAAGCCATTCAAGCAGGCTCTGAAATCATTGGATAAAAAGTCAAATGCATATCATCACTGTTTAATGTTAACTAAATATCTTTTATTTTTTAAGAAGTGAAAACATTATCAAATAGGATATGTTTTATTTGTCTATAATCAATCAATCAATCAATGTTTATTTATATAGCCCAATATCACAAATATTACATTTGTCTCAGTGGACTTCACAGTTTGTGCAGAATATCAGGTATGACAACACGACACCCTCTGTCCTTAGACCCTCTGTCCTTAGACCCTCTGTCCTTAGACCCTCATTGTCTTTCATTTTTGAAAAGCACCTTGAATTGCCTTGTGTTGAAAGGTGCTATATAAATAAACTTGCCTTGCTTCACATCGTACAAGGAAACACTTCCAGAGAAATCCCACAGTTTAAAGGGGAACATGGGAGAAACCTCAGGGAGAGCAACAGAGGAGGGATCCCTCTCCCAGGACGGACAGACGTGCAATAGATGCCGTGTGTAAATCAAAGAGATAATACATTTACAACATAGGTAGACCAAATGTTTGGAAATGCATGTGTCTGTAATAAGAAGATGAATCTACGAGGATGTCAGCAGTCCTGTGGGAGTCATCAGGGAAGTAGTATGGTGAGAGTCAAGCAGGACCGCAGAGACAGGTTCAGCCACGACTCGAAGTCCAGGACTCAGATCAGGATCCAGGACTCAGGACTCAGATCAGGATCCAGGACTCTGGATGCAGGATCCAGGACTCTGATCAGGATCCAGGACTCAGGATAGAGGACTCTGGATCCAGGACTCAGGATCCAGGACCCAGGATCCAGGACTCTGGATGCAGGATCCAGGACACAAAGAACCACATTACATTTGTTTAAAGCTATTCAAGCATGGCTCTTAAATCCTTGGATAAAAAGTCAAATGCATATCATCACTGTAAAATGTTAACTAAATATCTTTTATTTTTTAAGACGTGAAAACATTATCAAATAGGATATAATTTAGTCGTCTATAACATGATTCATGGTCTTAATAAAGACAATTAAAGAGCTTTTTGAACATTAAAGCATGAGACATGTCAAAGTAGAGACACTACATACTAATTTG